TCCACCAGATTTAAATGAATTGCTATCTGAAGAAAGTCTAGCTCCTTGTATTCACATTTAGAGACTGCCATTCCAGGCAGAAAAACCGACATAAAATATATATGTATAGATGTATAACTGTATATGTATATTATATATATTATATATATATAATATATATAAATATATACTAATATATTTTAATATATATGATATATATATATATATATATAATATTGCCATTCAGAGCCCCAGACGAAGAAAAGCACAGCGTCATATCATGTCAAGACTGATGGTCCATATTAAGCATTAGCACGTGGTCACAAAAGATTTAAGAAAGACAAAACCTTGGGTCCACCATAAAAAGCTGTATTTTTTTTTTTTAGCTGGAGCTATTCTATCAACAAAACAAAGTCACAAACCACTAACATGCCAGAAACAGATACCATGAAGGAAATACTAGACGAAGCCAGAATGCAGTTATATAAATCATAACATCACCTAAAGATAGTAGTTCAATCCAAGTAACCACTTAAGGTTAAGTGCCCGAAAGGCATGGTTGAAAAACAAGGCTTTCGTTGCAACACCAGTGCCACAGTGCAAATGCATCAAACACACCACCAGGTATGGCATTTACAACTAACTCCATGCATACAACTCTAACCCTCTCCCAGATTGTGGTGAGCTAAACCTGTGTCCCAGGCTCTCAGTCCGTACAGCTATTCGTCTTTGCTCTGTCCGATAGGTCATCCAGGTTCCAGAATCGGGAAGCCCTGGGTAGGTGTAATGGATAGGATAGCCCATGGGAAGGGCAATTGGGGAGTTGGAGGCGATTATGTATAAATAATTACTTTAATTGTGTATTTGCTGAGGTGAGGGTGTCTCCGAGGGGATGTCAAGATTTGGTCACCAAAGAGGATTAAATAGGGAGGAGGATGATTGTGTGAGGAGGTTTTTTTTTTTTTTTTATGTTATTTATTTTTGTTATTATCCCGGAAAAACTAAAGGTACCATATCAGCATGTGATTGAAGATGCCATCCAATGCCATTCTCATGTGTGGAGGGGGTAAGATACAATTAAGAGCCATGAAGAATGTAAAGGACTATCCGGAGGCGAGTGTGGGAGCTAGGCAGTACACATCATCAGAATAGGGGGGAATCGGAGTCGAGGTTGCTTGAAAAATGGGAAGTAGTGGAAGGAAAGCAGAAATTGGGGTAAGTCAACCAAGAGATAGGATCATGTTTTTATTTTTATTTTCTTGGTGGTATTCGGAGTCCTATAGTGGTCTGATTTTTTCATAGGATTTTTATTCTAATGCTGTATTATTCTTGGTTTCATGTTTCGTTGTATGGTGTCTGCCCAGCGTATAATTCCCGGAGGTGCCGCACATGTCTTGTCTTATCGTATATTTACTCCCTATAACTTCAAAAACATTTTTGTTCGTTGCCAGATCAGGGTGTGCTTCTATCATCACCCCCGGAGCAATAACATCCACTCCCGCGCACAATCGCATGATCTATCCCACAACCATGGGCTTGGTCTGTTGTCTGAACGGCTGTCCACCGATCACAAAGCACCTCTCGTAGAAATACTGAAACATATACTACCAAATCATAGGAATTGTAAATTGATTTGGCAACGGACAGGCGAGCTATGCTGAATATCATAGAATACCGTGGAATCGTCCTAGGCGTGTCAATTATCACTTAGGCCCCAGACAGATCATGACGTACAGCGTGTGGCTGCTGTGGTTAGATAAACTGCAGGCTCCAGGAGAGGACAAAAAATAATAGTAAAGGGCGAACGTAGGGGGGGATGAGGGTATGAGGGGGGATGGTTGGGAGAGGGGGGGAGCGCGGCAGAGTGGGAATTGGGAGGTTGGGCAGAGGCTTCTGCTGGCTGGGGCTGTTGCTTCCATTGTTGTTGTTAGTGGCAGAGGAAGAATCTGAGCCTGTGAGAAGAGACAGTCAGTGTCTGCCTTTGACATCTTCTTAAGACATTCCGTATTCTATCCACTTATTTACTCTTTTAACATCATGGAAGCAATATCCTTAATGCCTGAAAGGACATGAAAACAGAACCAATACAAACCAACATAGGCTAGTGAGTGAATGGAAAGACTAAAGTACTGAAACTGATTAATAGCTTTTTAATGAAAGTGCAAACAAATTCTTTACCTTCCTGAGCTGGTCCAATACTTGTCCTGCACATGGGATACTTCTCAGAAAACATTCCAAAAATATGAATTCCAAACCAGAGATTAAAAAAGGAAAAAATAAAAGGAAACACTCCAAAAGCAAATGCAAAATTAAAAGAAAAAGGAGAAATAAAAAATCACTACCTCATGGGGATAGTCACTGCCATTCTTCAACAGTCCAGAAAAAAGACTCAACATGCATGTTGAATAAAGTTCACACAATATGGGGGATTTTTAAATACATAACTTGTTTTCAAATTACAAAATCATAGGAAGTGCACAAACAATAGATGCTAACCAACATATCTCACGGGTGAAAAATT